GTACACGCAAATCCGAAGACAAGTTAAGCCTCCCCGGCAAAAGTATTGCTCTACGTATGACTATCAGTTCCCATGATCTTATCAGTGCATCTGATTCTGTACGTCGTCATAAATGAAAATCCTAGAGATACCTGAGCACATCATTTCTGTGTTGGAGAAGGTATATGCTGAAACCACATCAGCTATTAAAATTGACCAAAGTCTATCTGACTGGTTCCCTATTAACTGTTCTATTCGCGAGGGAGATGTGCTTTCGCCTTTGTCATTCAACACTGCTCTCGACTTTCTCCTCAGAAACTGTGTTGAGCATCGCAAAGGGGAAGGTATAGTTCAAGATATCCTGTCGACCTGGGGCACGCAGATGATAATGTTAGGTTCGGCAGTATGAACATTGGAATTCCGCATGCGACACAGCGACGAAATCTGGTCCTCTGCCTTAATGCCCTGGTATCAGAAGTTTCGAGGAACCCATCCGGCACAGCTGATTTGTAAGTGGATACACGAACCTGGGCTAAATCATTTCCCGCAGTGGCAACATTCAGCCAGTGTTAAGCCGAAGGATCGCCCTGGACTGGTTTTTTGGCAACCTTTGCGATTCTTAAGCCATGAAAGGAGTATTTCTTTCCATCGAAATCCGCCAGGTCAGCATTGCTGTACGGCATGGAGACATTTTTTTTCTAATGAAGGAGTAGTAACCACTATTGAACTGCCTACAGCAGTTTAGGCTTCGACCCATTCAGACGGTTAAACGGCAAAACTACCTATGGTATGACTCCATTCTCTGAGGACACCTTTCATCTGAACCTCAGTAGATAGGCTGATTGACAAAACGACAGGAGGCCAGCGTGCAACATGGATGATCGATGTAGAGGCGGATTTGCCTTCAGCGAGAAATATTTTTCTACGAGGAGGTAAGGGGTGGCTTATGACAATAAAAATATCAAAATACTGCTAATACAGTATACATCAGCAATCGGCATCGTTCTGCTTGAGTAAACGGCTCAAAATGATGCTTTCAGCAAGCACATCTAAGCAGCGGTCACACTACTGCTGCTTATCACACTGTAAAGTGATGTTTCGGGTGGGTCACGGTGAATCACAGTCCTGAGAAGCGCTCACATCAGATGACATGGCCGTATCTTTCGCCAATTTTGGTACGACCACACCAAAACACCATGGTATTCACAAATCATCATTCGTTCATCGCTTTTCGGTTCGCTGTACTGAAACAGTGTCGCACGAATGTTTGACTCGAGGTAATTAGCTATTGGTTTGTATTCCCTTTCTATTTG